TTTACTATTGTCCTAATTCCTCATTTTAAAGCATTAAACCATCAAGCTTTTATTTTGGTAGAAAACCACAGGGAGCTGGATTAATGGATACTGTTTTAATTCATAACATAAAATGCAAAAAGGTTTCTGTGAGGGTTATAGGCTTTATAATCAACTCAGTGTGTGTGTGTGTTTCAGACCCCTCTGAGTTTCACCCTGACGATCAGTGTCTGGTTCAGATGCTGAAGGGTTTGTGTTTGAAGTATCTGGGCCGATTGCTGCAGGCCGAGCTCTGCTTCACGCAAGTGTTGAGCAGGTAAACACACCACACACACATTTGTGATTTTACTGTAGATCTGAGAGAGCTGTTTGATGATGACTGGACGTGACTGTGTGTGTTCGCAGCGAGAAGCTCATCCGTTACGATCACTATCTGATCCCCTTCACTCTCTATGAGCTGGGTTTACTCTACAAGCAGCAGGGCAACTACGTCAAAGCCACGCGCTTCATCGAGGACGCCAAGTGAGTTCGCTTTCAGACGTGTACATGTCCCTTCTGAAATAAATGACAAGATAAAGCTATCATTGCAGTACTAAATGCTACCTAATCTCTTAAATAACACAACGCTTCACAGTAAGCATTGTTAGAACTGAATGGAGAAATTCAGCATTTCTAAATCTCAACAATTGATCTTGTGAAAAACACATTTTTACTACATTTTACTGTACTATTTTTTTGGTTGAGTAATGAGCTGATGCGTAATACAATTCAATGTGCATTGTACCACATGCCAAGTTGATGATACAGTGAATGGTGCTCAAGAAGTGTATTTTGTTAGGGCAGTAACTCTAGTATAAAGACCTTATGTCTGGTTTAAAGAGTCCAATGTGGTTGACAAACTGCACTGCGAAATGGGATTTTGGAACAATACAGCTAATTGTGCATTGTCCCACATGCCAAGTTCAAGGGCCCATAAAATAAGAATAGTGAAGTAAAAAGTGCTCAAAATTTAGATTTTTTTCTAGGATAGTAAACCTAGTATCAAGGTCTTATATCTGATTCGACACGTCCTTTGTGGCGATTGGAAAAATTAGGCTCGAAATGGGCTGATGGCGCAATACGACTGCCTACATTGTCCCACATGCCAAGTTCAAAGGTCCATAAAAAAAGATTGGTGAAGCAAAAAGTGCTCAAAACTTGGATTTCAATAGGGTAGTAGCTCTAGTATAAAAGCTTAATGTCGTCTTTAACGCATCCTCTGAAGCGGCTGAGAAACTCAACCGCGAATTGGGCTGATGGCGCAATTTGGCTCATTGTAGATCGTCCCACATTCCAAATTCAAGGGTGCATAAAAAAGACTGGTACCACAAAGAGTGCTCAATATTCGGATTGTATTAGGGCAGTAACTCTAGTATTGAGAGCTTATGTCAATTTTAACACGTTATCTGAAACGGCTTGTCCCACATGCTAAGTTCAAGGGTCCATAAAACAAGACTGGTACTGTAAAAAGTACTCAAAATTGGTGTTTCATTAGGGTAGTAACTCTAATATTGAGAGCATGTGTCAAATTTAATACAACCTCTGTAACACTTGGGAAATGGGCTGATGGTTCCATACGGCTTTATGTGCATTGTCCTACATTGCCAAGTTCAAGGGTCCATACATTTGTTAGATTTAACACATCCTTACAGAGGGCGAAAAATAAATGCAGAATTTCTTCATTTAATTCTAACAGTGCTTATTGCAAGCAGCATCATAGAGAACTTAACAGTGCATTATTCACGTTTGCATTTTTGGTCATATCGACCACCTCTAAGTAGCGTAAACAGGCAGGCTGCTAGAAAATCAACACAATAATTTATGCTAAAGAATCTGTGTATGTCTTTGTGTGTCTGTAGGTTGAATTATAAGGATTATTCGATGGAGTCTCGTCTTCATTTCCGCATCCACGCGGCTCTCAGCAGTCTGAAGGGTTCTCCGACAAACTCGCCGTGATGAAGGACAAAGTTCGACCAGACGATCAGCACGCGACAAGCACATTACAACCATCATTGAAGCAACCAAAGCAGCGCGGCGTAGCGACCGTAGAAACACATTCACCAACCATTTCAAACCAAACCCGCCCCAGTCATCAGTAACGTCAAAACTAGCATCTGTGTACCTCAAACCTGAACATCTGAACACGTATTTGCTGTCGTTCGTTTAAATAGAGTTGTACGTTTGTTCAGCCAATCAGACGGCTGAAGAAACTCGCTGACGTCCAATCAGAAAACAGCTGCTGTAATGAATGTAACGTTTTACTTTGAAGACCAAATCCGCGTGTGTGTGTCTGTGTGTGTGTGTCTGTGTGTGTGCGTGTGCGTGTGTGTGCGTGTGTGTGTCTGTCTGTGTGTGTGAGTGAGTGAGTGTGTATGTGTCTGTGTGCGTGTTTGTTTGTGTGTGTGAGAGTGTGTGTCTGTGTGAGTGTGTGTGTGTGTGTGTCTGTGTGTGAGAGAGTGTGTGTGTGTGTGCGTGTGTGTGT